AACCAATACCTTGAGTCCTGCTAGCTCAGATGTCTCGAGTTCGGGTTCAGCCTTAGGGGTTTCTGGATCGTTCGGCATCTCAATTTCAGACACGTCCGCCCAGTCCTCATCAACCTTGTTACTTCCGGTCACAACTGATCCCAATTTGATTATCCCAGCTTCCTCGGCTGAAATATCACCATCTGCAGAATCATCTCTTGGCTCGTCCGAAACTACTTCCTCCCAGGGTGCTTCGGTATTAACGACACCTGTTCCTGTTCTTGGAAGCACTTCTAGCACAGAATCCCCGACTACCAGCACCCTCTCAGTAGCGCCGGGTGTACCCTCAACAGAAACTTCATCTCTCTTTGAACTTACTGCCACAACAATAAGCTCTCCTGGCTCATCAGCAAGCTTTCTTCCAAACTCCCTATCGAGCGGTGGTACGAGTTATACCGATGTACCCACTTTAGTGACAACCCCGGGCCAGTCAAGCGTACCTCCTTTCGCATCTACATCTGACACACTCTTTTCGACTGGAGGCACAAGCTTATCGCTTTCAGCCACTACAGGAACACCTATTGACACAAGGATCTCTTCAGCTATTACAGAAACCCCCTCTATTATCTTGCCCGCCGGCTCGAGTTCTTTGACCTCCTCTGCTATAGACATTCCAAGTAACACTGCGGCTTTGTCTTCATCTGATTCTTCCAACATAGTACAGTTACAGTCCTCAACGTTGACAGAAACCACAGCCGGCTTATCGACTAGCTCCAAGCTTTCAACTCAATCTGAGTCTTCGATCAGCTCCACTAGCACCGAACTTTCTGCGCTTTCTGACTCAACGATCTCATCCTCGGCACTTCTCAGCATTCTGAGTACCCTTTCATCGAGCGCAATATCATCTTCAATTGTTGCTGCTTCATCCTCGGGCGTGTTTACTTCTGCTGGGGTAGATCCGACGACCGCAACGATTGACACCGTTTCTGCCGACTCAACAGTTCAGGACACGACCTTGACCTCAACCTCTGTAATCTCACCTGGCTCTAGCCTTTCCTCGTCCAATCTGAGCACAGATTCACGCTCCAGCAGTCTTTCTGCTTCAGCCACACCATCTGGACCTAGCTTGGTGACCCCAACGGCAACCTTTGTGACGTCTGTGGTTGTATTCACAGGAACTGAGTCCCTCACGGGCACCGGCCTAGTCCCTCTCACCACCATTTATCCAAGTAATGGCGACGCACCGACTGTAATATTTGGTGCGGCTAGGAGACTCTTTGCTTCCGTTGCTGTGCCATACTCTGGTACAGGGATCATCACTGGACCTCAGCAAGTGAGCATCGTGCTGCCAAGCGGTTCAGACTCACTAGTGCTGGGGACAATTGTCTACGCAACACCAGACCCTCTGGTCATGTCCGAGGTAGACTACACTGGAACAGGCACCCTCACCTCGCCTCTGCCATTGACCACTATCTACCAGTCCGGCACGGTCCCTGGGACCATCGTTTTGGCGAGGCCGGCTATCTTTGCTACACCTGGGACCAGCTCTGCTGCCGTTTCCAGTGTTTCGAGCGAGTCGTCCTCCCCTATTGTGTTAAGCACGACATTGCAGTCTACGAGCTCGGTTGAAAGCATTTCATCACTGGAAGCTAGCTCTTTTTCCACTTTCACTTCTCCGCTAGACTCCGCCTCGACTTTTGTTTCCTCTGGAAGCTCGTCGGGGTCGAGTGATGTTTCCGAGTCTACCGCTTCGAGCTTGCCTACTGTTCTGGCTGATTCCAGCACATCGAGCGAACCACAGCAAGGATTAAGCAGCCTTGTGGCGATTCTCCCATCAACTTCATCCAATAGTTACAGCTCGATGGTCGGTGATCTGAGCTCTTCCACAATCATTTCAGCTTCCCCGGTTGGTTCTATTTCAACCCCAGAGTTGTCAACTTTTACCGCAACATCAATGGATAGTAGCCTCTCAACTAGAGTCAGCATTGATTCAGCGTTGCTAAGCACATCTTCGAGCTTGATAAGCGATCCAATTGTCTCAACTTTGACAAGCGAAAGCCCTATTTTCTCAAGCCAGACAACAATATCAACTGATTTAGAAACCACTGCAGCCCAGGCGACGGCATCTCAATCATCTGAAACAAGCATTGGAGTGTCCCCTTCCAACACTTTTGAATCGAGCGACTTGGCATCCTCTTCTCTTTTGGTAGTGTCTTCCACTGCTTCCTCATCTGATTTCAGTTCTATCACTGCAATTTCTTCCGTGGATTCCACGGCTTCCATCGAGTTTCCTTCGTTTGTGGAAAGTAGCTCTGCATCTGAAGGTACCATTCGAACCATCTCCTCTGTCTCGGATCAGACCCTGGTCTCGAATTCAGCTCCGCCAGCATCTGCCCTCTACGACAGCATTCAGGTGCCCTTCACAGGCACTGATCAGTTGCCTACTCCGGTCCCCATCAGTACAGTACCTCCGAGCGGAAGCGTCCGTGGAACTATTGTTTACGCCGCTCAGTTCCTCACGTCAACAGTATCGGGGACAGGTCAGTCCACAGTGACCCTTTCAATAATCCCGCCTTCTGGGACACAGGCTATTGGCTTGGTAATCATTGCAGTCCCTGCCTCGCTACAATCGTCAACGACGTCGTCTATCTCACCTGATAGTGGAGGAACGTCTACCAGTGAGATCAGCTCTGATTCACCAGCGACTTCACTCACAACTTCGGTAACTGTGGCACCTCCCCTAGCTGCGACGAGCAGCATCAGCTTGAGCGGAAGTGCCGGCAGCACTGGAACTATCGGACTTGGCACAATCCTTGAGTCAACTAGCGTGGCGACAACATCCAGCGAAGTCGAGAGCTCGAGGACCCTTAATCCTGAACCAATAAGCACAGCCTTTGCTTCTCTACTTACCACCGCCAGTTCAAGCTCTTTGAGTGACGTTTCTCTGGCATCTGGCCTTAGCACTCTTCAGGGTAGCAGTACCTCCTTTGAGGCCCTCGATACCGACACGAGCGCAAGGACTTCGGTTGCTATCGCATCAGAAGCCAGCAGCTCCACTTCCATCGATGCAACCTCAACTGAAGCCGGCTCCTCAATCTCCTCCACTGTCTCGAGCTTGCTTAGTGAGTCTCTCATCACGACAGCAAGAGCTGGTTCCAGCAACATCATCCCAACGACTAGCAGCACAAGCGACTTTGAGACAATTTCCACAGCGCTTGCTTCTCTGATATCTACCACCAATCTCAGCTCCACGTTTGGCTCGTCCAATACGGCAGATGACACTACCTCAGCGTTCAGCGGCCCAATTACGGAAACCACCCGTTTGACTACAAACACTGAGATTTCTTTGGCAGCTTCTTCCAGTCTTGCTTCCGAGACAGCCAGTATTTCTCTCGAGATTACTACCTCCACTGGTGACACTCCGAGTACATCAGATAGCTCGCTGACAGATAGTTCCTATTCTCTCCTGTCAACTAGCACTGATACGATTGCCTCCTTTTCTTCGGATTCTACAAGCAGCGATCTCACAGCAGCCGCTTCAATTCCTTCCAAGACTTCCCAATTCTCCACCACGTCAGCATCAGCGGACGCTGCTTCTTACGTCACCTCGCAACTCATTTATACCGGTCCGTCTTCATTATCCGAGCCTCTCCCATTGAGCACTATCCAGCCAACGAACGGGTCTCCAGGCACTGTTATTTTGGCTATTCCAGCATCTTTCTATGCCACTTCGACATTGATCTACACCGAAGGCGACTCCTACATCATTCCGTCTGCCATTAGTACAGTTGCGCCTTCCGGAACAGCTAAAGGCACCGTCGTCTTTGCCGCTCGCTACGCAGTGGCTAGAGTTGCGTATTCGGGCACTTCACTCATTACGGAACCTATCCCAATCGCCACATACCCGGGCAGCGGAACAGTTCTTGGTACCATCGTCTATGCCGATCCTCCATCAACCTCAGCAACATCAGGGGCATCTTCTACCACGTCAATATCTACAGACTCCCCTGACGCCTTCACAACTCCAGCCACCTCGACTTCGTCAACTTCCTCCGACGTGGGAATTTCTTCTGCATCCTCCAGTAGCTCACTTCTGTCTACTGTCTCTTCATCATTAGAGATTTTTACTGAATCTTCGACTTCTTCGAGTGACACGTTCACAGTAAACCCTGATACACTACTACCAAGTTCTACCTCTGTGTCGAGGACAGAAGGGCCAACAACAACAAGCCGCTTATCTCCCGAGATTTCTTCATCAACATCAACATTAGCATTATCATCAAGTGATTTCACAGACCCCGTAGCTTCTCCAACTTCGTTCACAACTAGCTTAGATGGTCAAGAAACATCATCTGTCAATGCATCATCGGGCGAAGCGTCAAACACTTCAAGCACCTTGGTCACTGAATCTACCCCAACATCAACCTCTTCATCATCTCTGTTGTCTTCAAGCTCCTTGGAAACTATTGGCCTCGATACCCTGTTGCCTACTAGTACATCTAGTAGTTTCTTACCTGGCGTGGAAAGCAACACATCGGGTACCTCATCTAGCGACTCTGCTCTTCTCGGTCCAACATCACCATTTGACTCAGGGTCTACAACCAGCAGTAACCCGCAATCGCCATCTGCGACGTCTACTCCTAGCTCAGCCACCACTGTCACCTCGACAACCGATTCTGCGGATGAAACCTCGACCAGCTCCTCGGCGGAATTGTCGTCGTCAGCCGCGAGTACAGCAATGACGCTTGAGTCTGACACCTTACTTCCAAACTCCACCAGTACCTCTTCGAGTGAAACTTTTGCTGCAACGAGCATTTCGACTTCAAGCCCGAGCCCATCATTGATATCGATGTCTTCTGTAGATTCATCCTCGTCCTCGTCCCCAAGCACTCAGAGTACATTAGAGGTCACCACCTTGCTGTCAACGTCTAGCGACTCTACAATAATACCATCAGTGTCCTCGGGTAAAACTGATAGCTCTTCTGTGCTGAGTACCTCAACCTTAGAACCCAACTCTCAGCTTACCTCAAGCTCTGTTGAGGAGTCGTCGTCTTCTTCCAGCACTCAGGCGACTGCCGAGATCAATACCTTGCTACCAACGTCTATCGTATCTTCACCTACAGGTACAGAGACAAATTCCTCATCTTTCGAGTTGAGCAGCTCATCAGGAGTTCCGTCTGGACCGAGCTCGACTGCTACGTCTGATCCATTATCGTCCATCGCCATCATCGCGTCCTCGTCAGCTACGGACTCTTCAAGTACCCTGAGTAGCGTGGGCTCTGATTTCATTACCTCAAGTTCAATCGTTACCGTCAATCTTAGTACGCTACCTTCCTCAACTGGCCTTCCAACGAGTGAGGATATCAGTTCTTCGACCTCCGACGGAGCAGGTTCATCGACGCCAACGCCAACATCAACCTTGCCGCAGTCAACTTCAAGCAGTCTAACGGTGGAGACCACAGCCACTACGTCCGAGGGCTCTTTGGCTGACTCTTCGTCTTCGACTGTGAGAGTTGATCCGAGCGGTCTGCTGTCTACATCATCAAGCCCATCTACGGAGCAAGGCTCGAGTTCCACTGTTATACTTGGAACGTCCTCGTCAACTCCACAGTCGTCTGCGAAAGTAAATCCATCTACAACTTCGGACGCTTTGGATACTTCTTCTGGCTCTCCTACCAGTTCCAGTACCATTACTGCGGCTTCCGTCAGTTCAACATCAGATGTTGTCTCCTCCTCTTCAGAGGTTTCCAGCACTACTGCGGCTTCGCCCAGCCCTACAATCAGCCCGGATAGCCTACTGTCCACCTCGCAGAGCACTTTGACTGAAAGTGCATCAAGCACCTCTGAGAGCGTCTTGATGTCGTCTTCAAGCTCTACGGCTACGCCTACTATCAGCTCCACGGAACCTTCTTCTTCAGTTACAATTAGCATTCCGGTCACTGAATCAACTTCAGTGAGCTCGCAAGCAAGCTCTGAAGAAATTACAATCACACCAACACTTTCCTCTACTAGCACATCCACAAGTAGCTTTGAGTCTTCTTCGTTCACGGTCGACCCCACAACCCTACTCTCAAGTTTGACGACTTCAGACTCTTCAAAGAGTGATCCCCTATTGTCATCGAGCTCTACCGCTATTTCCACCGGATCTTCCGCATCCTCACCGACCAGTACTTCAACTGTCATAACAACTTCTTCAACTCCCCAATCAAGCTCCGATGGAGCCGCATCCTTAACATCTATATCCTCATCCGTTACCACGTCTACGTCTCCATCTTCATCTCCAACGATTGACCCCTCTAGTCTTGTCTCGACGTCCACAGAATCGCCGACTACTGGTGTGACGTCTTTTCTTTCCTCGTCAAGTTCGGATCGAAGCTCTTCATCCGAATCCAGTTCCGAAAGCTCAGTCGAGGCTACGTCTAGTTCATCACTTTCCTCGTCATCAACCTCAACCGGGCCGTCACTATCTTCGAGCCCCCCATCGGTTGATACAGCGAGTTTGGTTTCCAGTTCGGAGTCATCTTCCTCAAGCTTATCGACATCCACCATCAGCTCAACCGCCGGAACCACAATCACAACTTCAAGCTCGAGTCTAGCCTCATCTTCTGCTTCTTTCACCCCTGGATCCTCCAGTGCGACAAGCGATGCAGAAACTTCAGCTACTCTGTCCAACTCATCGTCGGCGAGCACTACAAGCACCTCCTCGCCAACATCTTCGTCGTCGTCGACCTCCGCGACTGCGCCAGAAGTCACTCCTTCGACCCCATCTGATTTGTCAGTCACCTCGTCTACCTCGTCAGCATCTTCAAGCCCAACGGTCGATCAAGCAACGCTACTGCCCACTTCGGAGCCATCTCCAATGAGCACGTCCACAGATCCTTCGTCCTCGATCGCGCCGGAAGCGACTTCCTCAAGCTCATCTGGCTCGACGTCCATTTCAATTACTCCATCTACGTCTTCGATTTCACCAGCCGGTCAAGATACGTCGCTGCCTACATCAGAGTCTTCGTCGATGAGCACTCCGACCTTCTCCTCGTCATCATTAGCTTCCTCTACGCTTTCATCCAGCTCCGCCTCCGAGCCTGCTACCACTCCATCCGTAACATATATTTACACGACCATTTTCCTCACAGCTTCAGACTCGCCAGACTCAACTATCATTGCTTCAATCGGTCCAAGCGGTACTCACGCTGGCACTATAGTCGTTGGAAGACGAGCACAATTTGTCACTGTCACTCGCCCATACAGTGGGACCAATCCTCTGAGCGGTGGTGCAACTACTGTCAGCATCGTGCAACCGCAAGATGAACAGCCAGGCACAGTCTACGTTGAGACAACTCCAAATGCGACACCCTCGACTTCCAAGTCAACATCCACTGACCTCTCGCCAGGGTTGTCGAGCTCGATATTCTCAAGCTCTTCGACCTCCGAGCCACTCCCAAGTACATCTTCTACTGGCGCCAGCGCCACTTCTACAAGTACGACTGATGCTGTCGAGCCAAATACTTTGCTGTTAAGCACGAGTGCCGCTTCGACGAGCTCGTCTTCTAGCTCAGACTCGCTTCCGTCGACCTCAACTTCTCAGCCATCGTCGACTTCAGCTAGCACTTCTGCGTCGACTAGTAGTGTGTCTTCCATGTCGGCTTCAAACACACCTTCCAGTGTCAGCTCAAGCAGCCCCTCAGGACCATCTTCAAGTATCTCCAGTATCACATCGTCAACTACAGCCAACACAGCGGAAAATAATACCTTACCCCCGACCACGAATGTGTCCTCAACGAGCGCCTCATCTAGCTCAGAGCTCCTTTTATCAGGTTCAACATCACTGTCTTCGTCTGGATCGACAATACTATCTTCGCCGACCTCAAGTAGTAGTGCCAGCCAACTCTTCCAGAGCAGTTCGGGTAGCCTTTCAAGTGCTTCTTCTACTGTTATTGCATCCACATCGAGCCTGAGTGTCGATCCCGCATCTTTGTTGTCGACATCATTGACTCCGTCGTCGTCGTCAACCACAAGCACAACTGAGTCGTCTACTTCAAGCTCCGTCGGTTCTCCCAGCACTTTCGCGACCGCAAGCGTCGCAAGCACATCCTCGACCTCCTCTCTGGGCAGCTCCGTATCGTCGAGTACCACAGTCAATCAGGCCTCCTTACTGCCGACCACCACTAGTGCTTCTTCGACATCGGCTTCGGGATCAACTACCAGCTCGACCGCATTCACTTCTTCGGATTCTTCTAGCGCGAGTCAAAGTTCAAGCTCATCAACTATAACGAATACCTCGCCAACGCCCACGTCTTCAAGAATTTCGGCTAACCAGGCTACCTTGCTACCGACTACCTTAAGTGGTTCTTCAACGTCAACTTTGAGCTCAAGTACTAGCTTCGATGTGACCTCGTCGTCGACTTCGCCCTCAAGACTATTCAGCACAACTCAGAGCTCATCGGCGACCGCAGACATATCATCGACGCAGATCACATCCAGCCTCTTGTCAAGCAATTCTTCCTCCACAACTCCGACCCCGAATGCTGCTACGTTGCTTCCAACATCCATTAGTACCTCAGCGGGCCAGAGCTTCAGTTCCTCTAGCTTGATTTGGACTTCTCCCACCTCATCGACAAGCAGCCCTGTTTCCCAGCCGACGTCATCTTCAAGCAGCCTTCTCGGCAGCTCATCGTCAACTGTCTTATCGCCACCCATCCCATCGTCTACTGACTCTACTTCTTCCAGCGTGTCTGTCAACCCCGCCACATTGGTACCTACGGCTTCTAGCGCTTCGACGAGCAGCTCTTCAGTCAGTTCTTCCATCAGCTCTCAAAGCACTTCATTATCAGCAGGCACCTCTTCTAGTCCTGCCTCATCTGCATCTATGTCCACCAGTATTTCAACGCCACCCAGCAGCTCCTCGTCAATCACCCCAAGTACCTCATCGTCAGCCAGCCCAACGGCGAACGCCGCCACGCTACTTCCCACAAGCAGTAGTACAACAGGGCCATCTTCGAGCAGTCCCAGTAGCAGTCCTTCTCAATCTTCTAGCTCTGCAGTCAGCTCAAGCTCCACTTCCAGCGGTACTGCGTCTAGTAGTAGCTCGCTTAGCAGCTTTGCATCTGCCAGTCCAACTTTTAACGCCGCCACACTGCTCCCGACGACAAGCAGCGCAGCAGGGTCATCTTCAAGCACCTCGGCTAACAGCCCGTCGTCGTCCTCGGGTTTAACGTCCAACGTAGGCTCCGCTACCAGTAGTACGGTGCCCAGTACAACTTCTTCCATCAGCGCAACAGTCAATCCAGCTACGTTACTGTCACCAAGCACCAGTTCAACAGCGGCACCTTCGAGCAGCTCCGCAAGCAGCTTTCCACCCTCTTTCAGCTCGTCGGCAAGCTTATCTACAGTCACCTCTACTAGCAGTAGTACAATTACTGCTAGTATTCAGTCTAGCACGTCTTCTTCTTCTCCTTCTTTGTCTTCTTCATCCAGCCCAACAGCCAATGCAGCCACGCTCCTGTCAACGACCAGCAGCGCTTCTACGATCAGTCTTCCGACAGTCTCATCTTCATCTTTCAGGGCAGCAACAAGCTCCTCACCAAGTGCAACGGGTAGCTCTTCCGTAGAAACCACATCGTTCCCGTCAACTTCATCGAGTCCGACGGTTGAAGCAGCCTCATTCGTGTCCACTACTAGCAGTACGTCTACAAGCAGTAGCTCTTCCACCAGCTCAACATCTCCCACCTCTGCCAGCTCTTCGATCTCGGTATCCACTAGCAGTGGCACTACTACCAGCCCATCATCTAGTAGCTCAGCTCTCAGCTCGTCTGCCACTTCTTCGAGTGTGACGGTCAACGCAGCCACCCTATTATCTACAACAAGCTCCACAACGAGCACCTCAACAAGCGGCCCGACGACCAGAAGCTCGATATCTAGCACGATATCTCTAAGCAGCACTTCAAGCAGATCTTCGAGTGGTTCTTCGAGTAGCTCTACTGCTTCACCCACGGCGAACCAAGCAAGCCTGGTCTCCACATCCAGCAGTGCCACTACTAGCAGTTCTGCCACCAGCTCTACTACCAGTATTTCTACTACCAGCAGTATATCCAGTACCTCTTCGTATCCATCTACTAGTGTCACAGTAAACCCCGCAACTCTGATTCCCACAACAAGCGGTACAAGCAGCAGCAGCACTAGCGCGATGAGTAGCAGTGCTTCCACGAGTAGTAGTAATAGCTCGAGCAGCATCCTTTCAAGCACCTCATCCTCGAGCGTCACTGTCAACGCCGCGAGCTTGGCGTCAACTACAAGTTCATCAACATCAACCACGAGAACCTCGACGTCTTCTACATTCTTTTCAAGCTCTACCAGCTCTTCATCGAGCACAGCAATAACCTCGTCATCTTCTACGTCGTCTACAAGCTCTTCCTCGAGCTCCTCTTCAAGCTCTTCCGCCAGCGCTGCGCTCAACACATTGTTAACTTCGTCGAGCGCTTCCACGTTCTCGACCTTGACAAGATCGTCGTCGTCTTCTTCGACAACTTCATCTACGTCGAGCAGCGTTAGTGTTCAGGCAAACACTCTGGCGTCGACTAGCTCGAGCTCAAGCAGCACACCCACATCGGCAACCACAACAAACACACCAGGCTCGACTTCATCGTCCACCTCATCGAGCTCATCCTCATCCTCACGGGCTAGCAGTACCTCCTCTGCAAGCTCAACTTCCAGCTCAAGTTCAAGCTCGTCTTCTTCCCGAAGTACTACGTCGACAAGCAGCTCTTCCAGCTCGAGCAGCAGTAGTACGAGCACTTCGTCGACCTCATCCAGAGTCGTCGCCTCGGCCACACAAGGTCCCGCATTTTCGTGTCCCACGACCGGTTTTCTGATTCAGTCCCTGACCCTGTTCTCACTGAACCTGGCTACTGGAGAGCGAACTCAAATTGCCGACAACATAGGCGGCGACTCAGCTCGCAACATCAACGCTTTGGGCTACAACGCAAGAGAGGACTACCTCTATGGGATCTCCCAGAACGAGGCCGCCACCGACTTCAAAATCATCCGCATCCTGGCCAACGGCACGGGTACGTATGTCGCTACGGTCAGCAAGCTCACAACCGGCCTGTTCAACTCGGGCGACATCGATGAGAATGGCCAGTACTGGATCTCCACTGGTGGCGCCGACTTCTATCAGTACAACTTCGCTCCTGGCACCGCAAATTACGGAGGTCTTGTCAATAGTGGCAAGCTCAGCGGTACCGGTGGCTACACCATCGGTGACTGGACTGTCGTTCCTGGCGTCGGAGGCGGGGATCTATGGTCCGTCGGCGTGAGCAATCAAGTTGCTTACTTGTTGCGGTGGAGCCGGACTACCCACGCATTCACAGTGGTTCGCAACTTGGGCAACCTCACAGGAGCAACTGGGACTACGGTGCCTTTCTGGGGTGCTAGCTACGCAACCACAGATGGCTACCTCTTTGCGGTGGAAAACGGCAGTGGGCAGATTTGGCGCATCGCTGTTGATGGCTCTTCAAACCCACTGAGATTGAAGGATGCACCAGTCAGCAGTCGAAACGATGGCGCCAGATGTCTGGATTCCGGCGCCATCGTTGTCACTGGCTAACTGTGGCCTGAGATGTCCCTGGTCGTTAGTTTCTCCTTTGTTTTTGCAATGCCTTTTGGAATATTTAACCAAGTACCGTGTCAGCGTATGATGTGATTTTTGAGAGTCTATTGAAAATGGTAGTTCACCAAGATGAATTCGATAACGAACTAATAGATAATGTCAAATTTTCTGGAAGAATTATCTCACATCAAGCCGCTTAGGACTGCCAGCTCCCAAGAGTCAACATCGAGACATTGCGATGTCGAAGTTTCCATTGTCGCAGCGTATCCAGTGGTATAAGTGAAACTTGGTGCCGACAGAGCCAGCCGAAGCAACCAAGCCACCTATAGTTGCACATAGCGCCAAGTTTGTGAGACCCAACAATGAGCATGTGATCGACAATGTCAGTCGCAGGGAAGACTAATGTGTCTCGCTTGGAAGGCTCAGGCCGGTGACAGGCTTTAGCAAGAGATAAGCAGATATTATTCATCTCCAGGCATCACCGCCTTACACTTATACCTGTTTGTATATGCTCGAATAGCTATCTAAAGTTGTACGGTTCCTGTGATGAAGTGATCTAACTCATGTGGGAGATCAATATCGGCGTGGCTAGGCGCAACTCCCGTATATGCTAATTGACGAATGTAGATACCTTACTAGTTGATTAGAGAGACGAGTAGAAGAATCAGCCCTTCCGCATGTGCTTTCGAAAATAAAAGATTGAGAGAGGGTGTTTTCCACAGAAACCCTCGCTTCGAGGTTTAAGGGTGGAAGGTAGGCCCGCAACTTGTGTTGTCGCGAACCAAAGTGATCAGTGCGACTGCATACTAGCTGTAAATGATCCCCAGATTCACCATCCCGGGTTGCTGATATAGACTTTAGGGTTATATCACAGACCACCATCAGTTAAGCTTCAACTTGGTAGTGCTGGCCTTGAAGTCTCCCAAAGTTCCACCGAGTCAAGACCCATGCTAATTTTGGCACCGATTTGGCACTAGATGATCGTATTCTATCAGTAGTTACTCATCACAGGGATTGCAAGGGATCCCAGGCCGCCTTAGATTGCTTGAAATGCATCCCCAAGCCAACTAAAAACTGTGAAAAATGACGCTTTGCGCTGTAAATCAGGCTTGGCTAAACATCCACGGTCGCTACGAACTCTGACGTCGCCGGTCCCGCATAACAACTTGGTTTTTTTCTGCCTCCCCCATCCTCAGTATTCTGGCCCGTTAGTTGAGAGTCAGTCATACCAACCAAAATTATATCACACCGGGTTCACCGGATGTCACGCCATATATAGCATTGTTTGCCTATGCCCTCTCCACTGCGCAAATCGCCAAGATGCCAAAAGAGGAGGAAAAAAAGGGGGTTCGCCGTTCAGATTGGGTAGGACCCGGAGGAGACTTACATGGGGTCTCCACCGCGGATTGACCGTTACACTGCCGGCAGCCGAGGCTCAGGACGAACGACTGAAGAACTACATAGTCGGCGGGGGTTCCTCGCTCGCTTTTTTGGTTTCTCTTTTGTCTCTTCAGTGCCATCGCTGAGAGCATTCACATTCGTTTTCGACATTCGTTCTTTTTGCTAGATCTGGAGTCAAGATGAGCGCCGTCACCAAATTTGGGTTCGAGTACCAGACTGCCACTATCAATGGCGTCGAGTACAACTACATCCACGCCGAGCCGGCGGGTAAGGTGGTAGGCACAATCTTCCTCATCCACGGGTGGCCCGATATGTCCCTGGGATGGCGCAACCAGATCCCTTACCTCCTGTCCAAGGGCCTCCGGGTCATTGCTCCGGACATGATGGGTTACGGAGGTACTGATGCTCCCGCCGACGTCAACTACTAGTAAGCCTCTTGCACCAAACACTTTGCCTCAACGAGGGAAGCTTGGCAAGGACTGACCAACTCAACCAGCACATTCAAGCGTGCCTCTGATGACATCGCCACCCTTGCCAGTCACCTCGGCCTCTCGCGCATCATCCTGGGCGGCCACGACTGGGGCGGAGCGGTCGTCTACCGCGCAGCCCTCTGGCACCCGGAGCTGATCTCGGCATTCTTCGTTATCAGCACCCCCTTCGCACCTCCCCGTCGGGCCTACGTCGACCAGGCCACCGCGCTGCCTACGCTGCACTACCAGCTGCAGTTCCGCACCGACGCCGTCCAGGACTACATTGGCCTCGGCGACGTCCAAAACGCCACCCGCGTCCGCCAGATCCTGAACACCATCTACGGCGTCAGGCTGCCCAGCGGCGCATCAGCCTTCAATTCCAGTGGCGCCGGCTTCGACTTTGACCTTCTCGACGGCGTAACGACGGACACGCCGCTGCTGGGCGAGGAGGAGCTCGATTACTACGTAGAGAACTATGCCGGCAGCGACCCCTTTAACAGGACGCTCAACTGGTACCGCACCGGCGAGCTCAACTGGCAGGACGAGCTTGCGCTCATTCCCAGCAACGCTACCGCGTATACGGCCAAGTACTCGCAGCCTGCGCTGTACATTGGCGGTTCGCTTGACTCGGCGCTGCCTCCCATCTTGTCCACCGGTATGGAGACGTACTTCGACAGCTTGTCAAGAGGCGAGGTGAACGGTACGCATTGGGTCATGTGGGAGAAGCCCGAGGATGTGAACGGTTATGTTGGCAACTGGCTGAGCAGCTCAGTATTGGGCAACCTGAGTCTCGGTGTCAATGTCACGGCTGGAAGCGCTCTGGCGTTGCTGTGATCGGTGACATGTCGGTGGAGGAGGGCCTTGCCTGGGAGTCGCATGGCACGGACAACGATGCGTATGATTATGGAAATCAGCATATAATAGAAGAATATTACCATTGTACAGTTGAATTTCCAGAACGTGCCGCTGTGAGAGTTGAACGCCATCATCCGATCGACCTCATGTCCTGAAGTAGTCGACACTGCAAGGAAAAGTATGGCGGGGTGAGGGATGTGCGATGATGCAGTAGAGCTGCAGGAAGGGACCATCCGTTCACTGCAGCCCGGACAGGGCCTGGAACGCTGGCAGCGCTACCTAGGTACCTACCTTAGTTGAACCCCACCGGAGCCACTGACGCCGACCTCCGACTCCACTCAAAATTTCCAGCTCTCACTTCATCCCACCTCAGACAAGCCCAAGGCCATCCTCCAGGTCGTTTGCGCTTCAATTGAGAGGATTCTCTGCTTTCCCGTTGTTCCGACAAACATCACGACAATGGCTACCTCTAAGGGCCTCCCCCGCGATACGTTCGCCAAGCTCTCCCCTCATCCCTTCCTCCTCGCAAACCTACAGCCTCCGGCCCCCGCCAACGCCGCCAGAAGCAACGGCCGAGCACCCAACGAAGCCCGAATTCCCAATGTCAACACCTCCAGCTTGACCCATGCCAACGGAAGCGCTGTGGTCCGCACGGGTGACACAACCGTCATTTGTGGTGTCCGCGCCGAGACACTTCTCGCCTCCGACATCCCCAACTTCCGCACCGCTGCGAATCTCGACAATGAAAACGGCAAGCCAAGCTCGGAGCTGAAGGACTACGATTTGCTCGTCCCCAACATCGAGCTCGCCACCGGCTGCGCACCGCAGTTCCTCCCCGGCGTACCTCCCACAACACTGGCGCAGACCCTGAGCACGAGAGTTTACTCATTGCTGCATTCCTCCAACCTCGTCGGCCCGGAGGACCTGAGAATATGGTACACCCGCCCTGCCGAGAAGGCCGAGACGGAGGGCGATGATGGAGATGACAAGATGGACGAGGACGATGACGAAGAGAAGTCTGAGGGTGAAAAGGTTGTCATGGCGTACTGGGTTCTATACATTGACATCTTCTTCATCTCGTTCGACGGCAACCCCTTCGACATTGCCTGGGCTGCTATCCTGGCCGCCCTTCGCGACACAAAGATCCCCGTCGCACGATGGGACGCAGACCGCGAGATGGTCGTCTGCTCCCGAGAGAACCCCAAACCCCTGACGTTGCACGGCTTCCCTATCGCCTGCACAGCTGGCGTCTTCACAGGAAAGGAGACGACGGATCGGCCTGCTGCCGGCAAGTTCTGGACTCTGGTCGACCCGGACAGGTTGGAGGAGAGTCTATGTGATGAAGAGGTAACGGCAGTAGTGGACCGAAGTGAGGGAGAGACGAAGGTATTGGCGATATCAAAGCACGGAGGAACGGTACTGCAGCCGCAGCTCATACGGGAGTTTGTGGGCGTTGCGGAGCGGAGATGGGAGCAGTTTTACAAGGCCATGGCATGAAGATAATGATACCCACCAAAAGGAAGGCATGAAAATCCAAAACGTTTAGGGAAAGGAAGCTGTTCCCTCTGGTATATCCTCAGGCTATGCTCTACCCGTCCAATGGTGGCATTCGATCCCCCCTATCGTGAGCTTTGATGACCCAGCCGCCTTTCACCCACCAGCCGCCTTTAGTGAGGCCCGGGTGAAGACGAAAGCGCATACCTACTTAAGCCCATCAACTTCCATTATCTTTTTTCTGACACGACCTTCTGAAGCTGCCAAGCCTCTTTCTTCACATCACCTTGCAAAATCTGCATCACTTGGGGGGAAAAAAAACCATCACCACTTTCTGGGAATTTTACTTCAGAAACACCGAGCATCATCATCCAGCCATGGCCAATCTTCATTCTCGAATCCAGGACGCCTCGAAGGAGGAACTCGTCCAGATCCTCAAGGCTGTCTGCAGCTTCACCGATACCCACTACCACGTCAAGAGCGTCCTCGACTATCTCGACGACAAGAAGCAGTCGGAGGCCGCCGCCGCCGCCAAGCGCCGCCTGTCTACCCGCGCCTCCTTGTCCAACAAGAGTTGGGCCCAGCCGCTCCCCAAGACTGTGAAGCGCAACATCAAGATGTGCGAGCTGTGCGAGCTGCCCTTCGTCGAGAAGGAGAACACCAACGAGTCTTGCCAGTCTCACTATGGTAAGTTGGGATCCAACCGAAACATTTTCTGTCCATTGTGGAGTGAAAGTATGTTGACGGACTGCGTTCGACGCGACAGGCAAGTGGCTTCTCGAGTGCGAGAATGAACACGAGGTCTGGTTCGCGGATCTTGACAAGGCCGGCGAAGAGTTCACTTCCAACGAGGAGGCCATGTGCATCGTCGACTGCTGCAACAGCCAGCGTGGCGCCAGCAAGGGATGCGTCGAGGGCAAGCACGTCGCCTTGGTCCCTGGTGTCGACACCAGCGAGGACTCTTCCGACAACTAAGGGCACACCCGACAACACGATAACGAGACATGATTATGATACCACAAGGGCATTAAATTTTTGGGGGCATAGGTCTGCTTGATTACACAGAGTCGTCGGTACCTGAATAAGGTGTTGCAGAGTGCGCCAGGAATTGTTACGAGGCATCAGACTAGGTCACACCAGGTTTTCACTAGCAGACAGGAAACAATCGGTAGGAATTGACGGCAGTCTGGTTTGCTTGTTTTGGTTCATAGAATCAACTTAGCAAAGAAAACAGAGCTCCGTCATGTCCCACAAGGATCGAGCCAAAGTCTGCGAAACACAGAACACACAGTAAGCGTGCCGCGGTGAAGATATGTATTCCACAATTCGAGCCACCTTTTCAGACTTTATTCCAAGGCAGTAGATACTAGGGAAATTCCTTCTACCGCCCGGCGCCGAGGAAGCCTAATGAAAGGCCCTCATGAGCCTCAAATCTACTGAATGTTGACTCGCGGCTTGGTTACCGAGCGGATGATGAAGGAAGGAAAAACTAAAGAAAGTCGCGCTTTCCTCGCGATGAAATTTTAGGCGAGCCAGCTACAGTGCCGAAATACAGTGCCCGCTTCGGCTTTCACACATTTCAGCCTCCATTTTCCAGGTTCCCCACCATAGAGCCCCATCGTCAATCTTCCAGGTTCCAACCTCAGCTCTCGACTTCTACGCAAATTTTCCCTCCTCGCTCTTCCTTCGACCCTACACTTTCCAACACCATGGAATCGCTGGCCGAGCAGACGTGGGATGTCATACTCCACGGCACTGGCCTGCAGCAGTCGCTGCTAGCCTTGTAAGCTCTTTTCCTGGCCTCTCTTTTTCCATTCCCAGCCCAACTCGTCGTCTTTCGGCATCGTTGTTTCTTGAAAAAGCCTCGATCTGACTGACGCAGTCTCGCTTGGCCGTGAAGAGCCCTCTCGCGGTCAGGGAAGCAAATCTTGCACCTCGACCCCAACGAGTACTATGGCGGCCCCGAAGCCGCCTTCAGTTTACAAGAGATTGAAGAGTGGGCTACTGCGAACGCGGCGCCCACCGACGATGCCACCGGATCATCGCGCGTCTTCTCGTCGGCGGCTGTGAGCAAGCCCGAGGTAGCGACGGGCTCCGGGCCATTACTCTCTTTCCCGAGAGCCTACTCCCTCGCCCTCGCACCACAGATCATACACACTCGCTCAGAGCTCGTGAAGCAGCTCGTATCATCGCGCGCGTTCCGACAGATCGAGTTTCTCGCCGTCGGGTCATTCTTCATATACACCCCACCAGCTGCCAGTAGCGGGACCGAAGCTGGGAAACCGAGCCTTGTGCCGATCCCTTCGACTCGCGAGGCGGTCTTCTCTACGACCGCGATCCCCGCAAGGGCGAAGCGGTCGCTGATGAAGTTCCTCAAGTTCGTCTTCGACTACAACTCGGAGGACAACAAGGGCATATGGGCTTCACATGCCGACAAGCCTCTGTCGGAGTTCCTTTCGTCTGACTTCAAGCTGGACGCCGCTCTGCAGAGCTACGTTGTCACGCTTACCCTAAGCCTGGACGGCAAGGTTTCGACAAAAGACGGCTTGGCAGCTATCCACAGGCACCTCTCTTCAATGGGCGCCTTTGGGCCAGGCTTCGCTGCTGTGTACCCCAAATGGGGCGGCCTCTCTGAGATCGCGCAAGTCGGTTGCCGCGCTTGCGCAGTCGGTGGCGCAGTCTACATGTTGGGCACGGGCACAAAAGCTACGCGCCAGTTCAATGAAGCCCAGGAAGATGGCGCCCGCTTCGAGGTCGACTTGACCAGCGACGTCATGGTGAAATCCCGGACGTTGATTCGCGGCGCTGAAGAGGTTGCCTCTGTCGGCCAGCGCGTGAGTAGGCTGACGGCGGTCGTGAACTCGCCGCTCTCGTCTTTATTCGAGGCTGTTGTCGAAGGATCACCTACACCAGCTGTAGCAGTCATTGCATTTCCGGCCACCTCCATTGCCGACGTTGCATCACCATTCCCCATTTACGTCTTTGCTCACTCAAGCGAGACTGGGGAGTGTCCAACTGGTCAGAGTAAGTTCCATCAACTTCCCACTTCCCCCTGTCACGAGCCCTCCATCGTACACATGATGATTTCAGAAAAAAACTTATCTACATTGCCTGAGCTTTGCTTTGACGTAAACTTCTGTGGAACTGATTGTACACTTTTTTATCACTTTGGCTTGCAACTACCTTGTATTGTTTGGTCACATGACTAACCAGGTCACTGTTTAGGCGTTCTCTACTTTGTCACTCCACTGACACCAACTTCAGCCGAGGCTCTGGAAAAGGCTTTGGCGTTGTTGCTTTCCGCCCTCGGTGATGGCGAAGACAAGCCTGAGGCGATCTACAAGGTCGCGTACCAACAGGCACTTGCGGCTGCGTCAGATTCCGCAGACGCGTCAGACGTCCTTCCCAGCCTGCCGCTCGATCTCGCCTTCAGCGACACAGCTCTGGAGCCAGTGAAGGATGCTTGGACGAAAGTCATGGGTTCGGCGGCTGAGGATTCCGACATTGTCTACATGAAGTTTGAAGATCGGGAAGGTGTTGGCGATGAGGAGGATGTCTACGAGTAGTCTAGCTTTTCAAATGAGTGCACGTAATAATGAACCTCGATGACAACTTCGATTTCAAGAACTTTTCTGGTGAATGTAGCTAATGTGTGTGTGATGTCTAGCAAATCTTCTGCCCGTATGTGATCCCGATTCCCCGAGATAGCAATTCTGAGTTCCCAAATTCTCCATCCGACCGATACCTTGGTCCGCAGATGACTGGAATTGTCTTCTCACTCCGAGACGAACCCCCTTCATCCTGATCCGGAAAATCAAATGTGTCGCAACGTAAAGACGAAAATCAAAAACGCAGAAAATGTCAAATGAACCTCCCTCCCGAACGAAACTTTTCAAGCAAACAGATTCTCCCCGATTCTTACTTCCAAGCACCTTGCAGCATTTGCCGCTCCACCATCTCGTTATGTCGTGTCGTAAAATCGATCTTTAAATACGCCGTTCAGTCGTCACTCCTCGCTGTTGATGTGCGCCGTCATGTCAACTCCAATTCGAATACGTCCGAAGGGCTGCAGGTCCGCGACATGCTGCTCGACTGTAATGGCGTCCTTGGTCGCCAGAGCCAGAACATGATAGAACGCCTGGGCCGCGACAACGTGATTCTGCTTTTCGGGCTCGATGAGATCGTCAAATTCAACCCATCGGCGGTTCTTCTTCGCATCTCCCTCCTTGATCTGGCCCGTCTTCTTGGCTTCTTCCTCGGTCCATTGCAGGAACTCTGCGCTTGCAGTGTCGAGCATCGACCGCATCCATTGAGAGTCGTTCTCACCTTTCTGCTGGGCAGTAATCAGGATCTCGGGTGGGTCAAGACCTTCAGAAGCCAAGTCCTGTGACGCCGGCATGTCGAAGGGAAAGGCGTCGAATTCCTCTGTGTGCTGCGCATCATGGAGGGGCTCGAAGGGTGGCATGCTGCTTCCGCGAATACTGGCAGACTTCTGGCGGCTAGCGTTTTCATGCCGCTGAGCACTGTGGCTGGCAACTGAAGAGCCTCTGCCTACCGAAGGGGTTTGGGCCCATGGCATCATGGAGGATGAATGGTTGTCGCGCATGGGCTGGCCAGCTTCCATGCCCATCTCGGGCATCGAATCGTCCCCGAATGCCATGTCGAAGCCAGTGTCATCATCCATAGAGCGGCCTTGGTGCGGTGTTTCATTGAGCCTAGGCCGAATGTTTCGGTCTACATGTTCATCGCCGTCCTCTCCAAATGCCTCGCCTGCTCGTCTCCGACGGCCTCTAGGGGAAGGTGTTTGAGCCTCGCGTTCCTCTTCTGTGGGCGGGCCGTAAATGATATCACGCAGGCCATTGCCCGCGAACATCTGAGCTAAGGGGAAGTCAACCCCATAGGTACCCACGCCTCCAATACCCTTCCCAAAAAGAAAGAAATAGGCATTCTCTTTGGCTTGGTTGGCGTTGCCCCTGCGTCTTTTGGTCGCTCTTTCTGTGTTATCGAGGTAGTCACCCTGCCATGATTTGAGAGTTGAACGGGAGAGTTGCGTGCCGTTATCTAGCTTTAGAATGCGGCGACGCTTGTTAGCAGGAGCAACTGCTTGATCGCTCTGAGCTCCCCGGGAGGCTTCAGGGACTAATGGGGCATCTCTCAAATGCGGAAGAGGGTCGCTTCCGAGCAAGGGCACGGCATGTTGAGCGTCGACAGCGTGGATATCGCCAGCAACTTGATGCTCGGCTGCAGCCTGGTCTTGCTGCATTGGAAAGTCGACATCGCACATATTGATCCCTGCAAGCTCAGGTAACTCAAGCTCGTCCTCGTCCAGTATGACTGCCCCGTTTTCATCAATGGCTAGCTCAACACCACCAAAGTTGTCGAAGTCGTCCAGAGCTCCGAACGGGTCTGCATTCATGTCGAGTTCCATATCGTCCCGAGATCGAGGAAGGAGCGTTTTCTGCGCAGAGCTTTGTGCGAAAGGGGAAGGCAGGCGGAAGTCCGGGATATCTGGCGACTGGGAAAAGTCGAGATGAAACGGCGAATTTCCGTGGTCGCTGTCGTCAAGGAAGTCAATGGGATCGGGAAACGGACTGAGCTGCGACTGCGACTTATTTCTGGAGCCCGAAGACGGCTGACTTCCAGCAACGAAGCAGGGATTACCGTCGTCGTCAATGGTGAAGTAGGGCATAACACTCGTCGGAACGAAACCCGGGTCGTCGCTTAAGGTAATCTGCTCACGCCTGACAAAGTTAGTGAATGTGTTAAGGGATTCTCGGTGAACATACCTTGCTCTTCCGGCTTTAGTATCAGTCTCGTTATTGGCAATGAGTCTGAGGAAGGTTCTCATCGTCGTCTGAACCTTCTCTGTATCGGTGAGCATGTATTTACACTGAGATGAGTAGACACGGGATACGCCGTAGAGAAGATTGCTCTGTAGACGGAGTGAGATGGGCGCTCCCGGCTGAATGATCTTCTCGCAGGCTTTCCGAATATCAACATCTTCGATAGCCCGACGCGACACCTTTTTGTGAGTACCAGCGCCACGAGGACCAATGGTGGCAATGACCCTGGAGATAAGAAGTAAGCATAAAGAATGTTTCATACGGACAAGATCTTACTCACCAGATGGTGGCGACGCCAAACTGGCGGCTGGTGAGGACTGTATGGTGTTAGTGACAGGCGAGATCCGATGTAAGACTGAAATGACCAACTCTCGTGGCTGTAGAACATGGTGGTTTCTACACAAGAGATCAACGCCGTCGTGGCGGGGGTTTGAAGCTTCGAGACAACTAGACCTGGCAGAAAGCAGGAGGTTGGTGCGGTCTTTGTGATGTGAATGTGGAATGGAAGTGAGTGAGTGAGAGTGGAAGAGAGAAGAAGGAACGGCATAGAGAAAAAACAAGCAGTCGCGTCGTGGCGGGTAGACGGATGAGGCAGGCAGGAAGGTGCCTGCCGTATGCAAGCATTGTTGTCTCGGCCTTATCCAAGTGTTCCTGCCGTGTCAATAGCTTCCCAACTTTTAGAAGGCACGTTGACCAATGAGCACCTACCTACCTCAGATGAAGGCAGGTAGGCGCAGTTCGATTAATTCGGACTGAGGTGGCTGGCTCAAGCCTTCTGTTCCAAACACCACTCCGTCCCAAACATCATTCCCAAGGTATCCTAATAACATGTTGGATGCTCTGCCCTACAGGCTCGGTAGGAAGTCAGGGGGGGGGGGCACTAAGAACACTCGGTTCTTACTGGGAACTTGGCGGGATGATGTAGTTGATCGTTAGACCTGCCTGAATTATTGAAATGATCGATATACTAGTCACGGCAGTCCGTCGCTCGCCTTCGTTATCCATTTTGTTACGTCAGAATTTACCTACCTTACCCAATTGCCATGCCTAGGCATCATCTCGAAGTCATAGCTAGATTCTTTCGCGACACAAGGTAGACTTGGTAGGTGCTTACAGCTTTTGACATCTCGGGAAGCAAGTAACACCAAACCGAGTTAGACTAGGGTATTGATAGCGTGGCACTTCTACTCGACCAAGGTCTGACAGAGGGAGATATCCAAGATTGAGGAGAAATTTGTGCTTTGGGGACTGCTGAACTGGGTTTCCTCCCAGGTACTCGTACTCAGAAGTCAAGCTTTTCTTCTTAATTAGGGTATTTTCAATTCACAACATAACGTCTCAATTGGAAGAGAGTGTGATAATGCGATCCAGGAGGGCCGTAACAGAGGCAGACTTGATTAAAAAAGTTGAAGTCTTGAATAAGATTGTTTTTGTATTAAACTCCTAAACTTCGATACGCTTCTAGTTGCTAAAAATGAGCATACAGATATGAATGGGCTTTTCCATAGATCAAGCTCAATGGCAATGGCCAAACATGGTCTTATTAGCCAAGTACTTTGTGAGATCGCGAATAATTCATCCTGTGGTTAAGACTTGAGGTTTCGATTGGACAATAGATGACATAAGCGTCGGACAGACCCTCCAGTGTGCACAGATCCTGAGACCCCTGCAAGACCCGACAGGAAGCGGGTTCCAGTGCACCCGGAAGTCGGCAGGCTGATATTCCGCAGGGTCGTTGCTGGGTCAGGCCTGGGTGCCTTTTCGCATTGTAAAATCATCACCACGGGCCATGTGAAGTCGACCACAGTAAGGCACTTTCTTTGTCCACCCAGAGCCAAAGGCACAACAGCACCTCGGCGGCCACCACATACTCCTTTTTTCAGTCTACTTTACCTCCTTGCGTCCGAGTTAGAGTGCGATCGATTGTGTTTGCCTGCCTCGAAGCACGTCGAAGCTCCTTTACCGCCGCCTCTGCGACAGCTACCCCGGACCCTATTACTCGACGAGGCAGCATCCTCCTAATACCAACAACACGATGGCGCCCCTTATTCTTCACAATGTTCCCGACGAAGAGCTTTACATTGGAGACGACGGCATCAAACGCCCTTACGCCATGGTTTTCCCACAGTACGTCTCAAACCCAACCGCGCTCGACTGCAAGCTCAATGCCACGCGCAATGACATGCCGCTAACACAGACTTTCCTCCCCTTAGACAAGAAGGCCTTCCTGGCGCCCGCCGCCGTGGCGTAGCAGAGACTGGATCTTTTGGAAAATCAACACGCCGCTCGCGCTCGAGAACAGGAACTCCCGCAGGCCGTCGCGAAAACCCAACAGTAGCAGCCGCCGACAAGATCTTTGGCGACTGGATCTCCTCCCAAGCCACAACTTCCAGCTCCAACTTGGCGCCCTCATCGACATCGGGCAGCGGCGCGACGAATCCTTCCTCCGCCTCCGGCGCCAACGCCGCACCCCAGCGCAAGACTTCTGGCCTCTCGCAGCCGCCCCTCCTTGCAGCCGACGACGCGCCCACCGCCACCGCCGAGCCCCGCGTAACCCGTCACGTCCCAACCGAAGTCATCCTCCGCGGCTACCGCTCCCCGTCGCAACAATACGCCGCGATCTCCCACTACGAGCAGCTCGCCGGCCTCATCTGCGAGGACTATCCCCGCGAACCGCCTCTTGAGCAGCGCCGCTACAAGTCGGAGCTTCGCGACCCTGCCTTCACCCGCCGACGGGGCCTCACGCCTGAGGAGCGCGCAAAGGTGAACCGCGCCGACGGCGGCGAGCACTGGATCAAGGTCACTTTCGAGTCCGCAGACGCCGCCGATGCCGCCGTCTACGCCAGCCCCCAGCGCGTGCTGGGCTACCTCGTCTACGCGGAACCCTACCACGGCCACCAACCCGCCCGCGACGAGCCCATCCCAGACGTCGACTCCCTCGTCCCCAGCCATGATGATCTGGGCCGCTCACAGTCCGTCCCCGCAGGCAGCTTCGGCACCCACCGAACGCCGCGCAGCAAGCACCGCACCGCGTCGTCCAACAAGCCCACCGGCGGCAACCCCTTTGCCCTCCCCAACGCCCGCTCCATGAGCGATCTCTCCCCGCCCACATCCCTCACCTCCTCCAACACGATCGAGACGGCCACAATCTCCAACGCGACAAACTCATCCGCGACGGTGACCGCAGACCCCTTTTCGCAGCAACAGTCAGCGCTGACCACCGCCACGACGACCACCGAAGACAGCCTCTTCTGCCGACGCATCCCCACCGCGCGCAAGGCTAAGCTCCTCCCCGCCGAGCAGGCCTTGCTGCCGCAGCAGAGCTACACCCAGAGGCTGGTCAACATGGTGCCCTTTTTGAAGTGGTTCAGCGGCTCCATGATTGGCAACGAGGTGCCGCGCACCGACAACGGCGACTTTGACTGGAACCGCGCCAGCTTGTACTGGAAGGTGATTTGCTGGCTCGACTCTACGTTTGGGCTCTTTGGCGGCGAGATTATGAGCGCCGACAAGGACGACTAAAGGTGTTCGTTCGGACCATGGATTTGGGGACGAGTGAGAATTTTCAATAAAGGGGGCTTGTGGGGTTTTAACTTGACGGGCGAGATGGACGGCGTTTGGAAAGGGGCTGGTAAACGGGCGGGGTTTAAAAAAAGTTTCATGTTCTATACGAATACCACGCGCATAACTACTTTGTTTATAGTTCATAGATTGGGCGAGCAGAAGCAAGGTTCGGTCAGAGACCAAGTACCGAGACAAGAAATTTGAGAGGCTCAGGCAAAGAATCATCACATGTCCAGATTTAAACAGTTGACCATGAGGATTGTGTGAAAGGAGGCTTTGTAAACCAGAATATGTATAACAGACTATGTATCTATGCAAAGCGCCAAAGGGGATAATGAGAGAGGAACCTCCGTCCCCTCCATCTATCGAGTAAGGTAATTGTAGGAAAATGAACAACGCCGCCTCTAAAATGGGTATAACAAAAATGAATCATGAGTCTTTTTCCGCCGCCATCAAAAATCCGAGCAGAGCAACCACCGAAAACTCGAACAGGAAAAACAAACATCTAGGCGTCGTCTTCATTCACACTCCACCACCGTCCAGGCCGCCCTCTCTCCTCCGACCCGCTCGCGATTGCCACCTCATCTTGCTCTGTGGTATCTTCCACGACGGCAGCGTCTCCAAGCAACGCCGCAGACTCGCCCTCTTCTTGTTCTTCTCCTCTTTCGGTAGGACTCTTGGAATCAACCGGTTCCGGCTCGTCGCCCCAGTTGGGCCTCTCCCCGAGAGTCTCTCCTTCGTCTTCCTCCTTGAGCACATCATGCCGCCTCTGTTCCACCTCGTCCTCCGGGCTCTTATCCTCCTCGCCCCTTGATCCCTCGCTCAAGCCGACCCCCAAGCTATCAAAGGTAACGTCGGTAGCGTGTCGCCGGATAGGCTGGGGTGAAAACGGCCTCACGCCCCTGGATCGGTTGAAATTCGTCTCGGAAAAGATGCTATCCGTATCGTTATCGTCCCCGCCAAAACCAGGCGACGGTCCTCCCGCAGCAGCAGCGAGACTCTGGTACCGCTCCGGATCACTCAACAGACTATCACCCCGCGCGTGACCCCCTCGCCTCGTCATATCTGACGCCGCGTCCGCGAGGATACTCTTGGGCGGGAGAATGCTAAACAGCTTGGCCGTCTCAGCCGACCCGCCGCCACCGCCTACACCACCTCCAATAACGCTTCCCAGCCCAGAGTGATCGCCGACCTCGTCGCTGGCAAACAGATCCGCGCCTTTTTCCAACAACTCGTCCAGCCCGCCGCCGCTCCACCCCTTGCGCGCAAGCGACTCGAATATGTCGACCTCGGCGCGCACAAGACTACACGAAGACTCGAGGATCCGCCCGCTGGTATCCTGGCTCTCCCGCAGCAGCGTCCGCGCGTGCTCCCCGTGCAGGGACGTCAACCCGTCAAGCCTCGTGGTCAAGTCCACCAGGTGCGCTCTGAACTTGCCCACATCGCGCCTCCGCTGCTTGTGCAGCTTCAGCCCTTCCTTTTCCAGCTTCCTGATCTCGGCGTTGCGGGCCTTGACCTCGCGCACGTAGGCCTCCTCTTCGTCGTCGACGCGCTGCCGCCATTGGTCTAGCTCGTGGAGTAAAGGGACCTCGAAGTCGCGGTAGACGGTCTCGGAGAGGATCTGCTGGTGGTTCGCGACGAGGTGGTGGACGCCCGAGGCGGAGAGGAGCAGGTCAGCGGTGCAGGATCCCTTTGGTCCGCCGGCCGTGAAGCTCGCTGATAACAGGCCTCCGCCGCCGCCGCCTCCTCCGCCTCCAGAGAGGCCGTTTATGCCGCCCGATAGGGACTCTGCGCGGGCTTCTTTGAGCCTTGCGCAGGATTCTAGTGCAGAGCCGAAGGCGGAGGCGGCGGTGGAGAGGGAGGCGAGGGCGATACGGTAGGCCTTTGCGGACTGGATGAGGTCGGTGTAGGCCGTCTGGGAGGACTCGAGGTCGGACTTTGTGAGGACGGCGTGGACGGGTTGCGGTGGTGGCGGGAGGGGCAGGTGGTATGAGGAGAGCGGGTTCGCGGTCGAGGCGAGGGAGTAGACTGGCGACGCGGGGACCGGCGGGAGTTGTGAGGGCGTTGGGGTTATGGGGCGAGAGTCGCCTGGCGCGCCTTGCGTGGCCATTGTCGTTGGGCTTGGAGCTTCTGGAAGTTTTGCGGTGACCTTTCTCCGTTTCGCCGTCTGGGTGCGGTTTCGTTTCGTTTCTTTTCTTTTCTTTTCTTTCCTGTTGGTGATAGCAAACAGCTGCGGGGAGTATGGTATCTCTAGGAGGGGAGGAAGATCTCGGGGCTTCGGGGTTGCTATGTGCCGGGGTGTGCGACTGGACGTGGAGTTGTGGGCTTTGGTTTGTTTATCGTGGTCTGTACAACGCCAGTGCGGACAATGACATGCTCAAGGGGCCCGGTGAAGGTCCAGAATAAGAAATTCGAGAGCTTGCGATGAGAAGGGCTCCCACCGGGACGATGAAGATAATGGAAGTGGAAAAAAAGGAAAGAAATGGAAAAGTTGTGGTTGGAGATATTTTTTGGAGAAACGCAAGACGAACGCCGCTGCTGCCCGGGTTGCTGCTGGATGCA